CAAACACTTGTTAGTCAGTCTTTTTTTTTTTAAAGAAATTTTATTGGGGAACAGTGTGTTTTTCCAGGACCCATCAACTTCGAGTCAAGTAGTTGTTTTCAATCTAGTTGTGGAGGGCGCAGCTCCGTGGCCCATGCGGGGATCGAACCGGCAACCTTGGTCTTATGAGCCTGCACTCTAACCACCTGAGCTAACTGGCCGCCCTAGTCTTCTTTTTTTTTTAAAGATTTTATTGGGGAATTGGGGAAGGGGAACCGCCATGTTGTTGTCCTTCAATCTTAGTTGTGGAGGGCGCAGCTAGCTCAGCTCCAAGTCCAGTCACCATCCAGCCTCCCATCAGCAGCTCAGGGCCGCTCAGCTCAAGGTGCCGTATTCAGTCTTAGTTGCGGATGGGCATAGCTCACCATCCCATGCGGGAGTCTAACCGGCAACCTTGTTAGGAGCATGTGCTCTCACCAGCTGAGCCATCCTGCCACCTGTTGGCTGCTCAGTGGCAGCTCAGCTCAGGCACAGCTCACTGGCTCATGTGGGAATCAAACTGGCAACCCTGTTGCTCAGAGCTGGCACTCTTAACCAACTGAGTCACTCGGCCGGCCCCCAGTCTTTTTTATTATAGCCATCCCAGTGGGTGCGAATCTCATTGTGGCTTTTCAAACATTCATGTAGTATTTACGAACCTTACATTCCAACAATTTTCCAGTAAAAGTATTATCACTAGCAGAACTTCTCCGAAGTAGCAACTTGTTTCTTTTTTTTTTTTTAAACCCTTTTCTCTACAATTACCTAAGTAATACATGCTTATTGTACAATAGTTAGAAAAAACTGGGCAGGCCGAGTGGCTCAGTTGGTTAAGAGCTCGTTCAGGAGTGTGAGTTCTGAGCAACAGAGTCACCGGTTCAATTCCCAGCCCAAGCTGAGCTGCCAACAGGTGGCAGGATGGCTGAGCTAAAAAAAAAAAAAAGAAGAAAGAAAGAAAAAGAAAAAACTATACAGAGAAGCACAAAGAAGATGGAGGCAAAGAGTTCCTCCCTTCCCATCGCTTCAATATGGCTTCTCTCTGATTTTGGATTCATGTAAACGGGTAACATACTAGGGGGCCTTGGAACAAGAAGTCTATGTCTTCAGGAAGCTTCTCTCCAGTATTTTCATAAATTAGACTCTGAACAAAGGGAATCTGAGGCATTTTTCAGGAGAAGATATACCAGGGATGATGAGGGACACCACTGGAATAGGAGTTTGCTTTGGGGGCTTTTCCAGGGCTTTTGGGCCTGGCAGGAAAAAGGGCTTCCTTCCTTACCATCTGTGCAACCTCAAGCAAGTCACTTAATGTCCCCCATACCTCAATTTCTCATCTGAAAAATGGGATTATGCATCCCTCATTTATCTGGTTGTGGGGCACATTCCACACCCAACAATGTCTGCAGCCCTGGAGCCCTAGTTCATTGGCAGAACGTACCCTCTTTTACATAGGGTACTGGAGCTAAGCCCTTTGTTCACAATGGCTCAGTGCCTTGGGAGACAGAGATCTGAGTTCTGATCCTGGTTTCATCTTTAATCAGCCCTCAGTCAAGTCCCTTTATGTTTGAGCCTCAGTTTCCTCAACCGTCCAAATCGTACCTATGTTATAGATATATAGATGTTATAGATGGGAGGTTTCAACATAATGATGCACGTAAAGTACCTGGCTGGGAGCTTTATACTGAGAAAGCGCTTGAGAAATATGAGCTATTATCACAATCCTTGCTGACTGCAGCCCCACCATGTGCCTGGCACTCTCAGGGAGGAGGGCACAAAGGTGAAAACAGAGCCTGGGTCCTGCTCCCCAGGAGTTTGACGTGTCGCTGGCTGTCTGACTTCAGACTCTTTGCTCCTGTCATTCCACCATTTGAGTTTGGGCCTTGAAGGATGACGGATCAGATTTGAGCACAAGGAAATGGAAGGGAGGACGGGCCTTGTGTATATGGAGCCATGTAAGCAAAGCCTGGGAAATGGGAACGCGCAGAGCATGTCAACATAAGAAATGTCCAAACCTGCAGAGAATTTTTATGAGTTTATTTGAGCCAAACTGACGCCATATGCTGGGGGTAGGGGTGGTGGGTGGGGCAAGATCTCAAATGCTCCAGAGAAGAACAGTTTTGCAGTTTCTTTCATGCATTTGAACGTAGGTGGACATGGGAGAAAGCAAGTTGAGGATTGGATTACAGGATAGTTATGTGCTTTCTTGAGGGTTAATACCCCCTCTGAGGGGTATTCTGGCATTTCAAAAGTGTGTTAACCTAGATTAGCAAGAACAATGGACAGGGCTGGCTTAAACTTTTCACTAAAGAATTTATATGCCTGGGGTGAGACTACCCACCATGACCTGCCCAGTTAGGAATTTATAATCAGATCACCCTGTGAGGTTACTTTCTATAGAATCCCTTTTTTTCCATCCACAGGTATCCATGGAAAACTGCAAGCATTTTAGTACCATTGCATGTGAGGGCCTTGCCTGGTTCATCTCACAAAGTTTAGCTAAAAGATATTAAGTACCCACTATGCATGCACCCCTCTGAAGATTTTATATCCAACGCCTTATTGACCCTCACAGTAAGTGGAAAGGTCACTTTTGCCATCCCCATTTCAAAGATGAGGAAATTGAAACTCAGAGAGGTCCAGCGGCCTGACCAAGAGTACAGTGCTAGAGGCAGATGGGGCAGGAATTCAAGGTCAGGGTGACAGATTGCAGATCTGTGCCCCTCATCTTTTGCAGGAATCAATTCCCAGGCAGTGAAACTCTAAAGCCAGCCCCAGCTGCCTGAAACTCAACCACAGAGAGCTGGCTCTCACCCCTTGCTGGCTCCCTTCTTTTGTCTCAGCCCCACCCTGCCACCCCCATTTCCCTTCCTGGCCCTGGGGCCCTGCTCCTTCCTTAGACCTGTTCTGCCACAATTCCTTCCAGGTTCCCACATCTGTAAAATGGGGATAAAAAGAGTGCCTGTCTCAGAGGGGTGCTATGAGAATCATGGGAGATGCCCAAGAGCTTGGAGCCCAGCACGCAGTAGGTTCTCATAAATATTAACGATCATCATAACCACCACCATTTCAATAGTGTCTCTGAAGTCCTATGAAATAGGCTGAGTGGAAGCATTATCTGAGACGTGGAGCAGCAGTTCGTCCAGTCACTCAGCTAGGAACTAGAGAGTGGGACTTGAATTGGGGCCTCCTTGCCACTCCTTGCTGGGAAGATGAGCTAATCATATAACCTGTATTTATTATACCCACCTTCCACATGCACGGCCAGACCCTAGATGCTGAGGGGCATTCAGAAAAATCCCTCGAGGGAGCTTATAACCTAACTGATAAGGCACAGAAACAAAGCCTTGTTTGTTGAGACAACACACAGGGTCCAAAGAGTGCAAGGGGCACTCTGGTAAAAGGGAGGCAGGCACGGAAGCCTTCCTGGAGAAGGTGATGTTTAAACTGGGCCTTGAAGGACCAGTGAAAAATGTCAACTGGAGGGAAGAGGTCTATGTACTGGAGAAAAGACCAGAGATATAACCACAGCTACCATTTCTGGAGGTTCCTTATGAACTGGGCTCTATGCTGAGAGCTTTATTTACATGCGTTATCTCATTAGATTTCCCCAGAATCCAAAGAGGTGGGTGTTATTAGGAATGAGAGTTTACACAACTTGCCTGGGGCCACATAGCTAATAAAAGTGATAGGGCCTGGGTTTAAACCCAAGGCTGCTGCAAAATCTGGGCTCTTAATCACTATGCATTATTGCCACCTCAGCCTCATTATCTGAGGATGAAGACCAGGTCTTAAGCTGGGGACTGATTCCGAAAGGCCTTCAATACCAGGATCAGACATTAAAAAAAAAAATAAAAAATCACAGTACCAGGCAGGAATCCGCAGACCTGGAATTTAACAGCAGTTTCTAGCAGCTCTGCCATTCTCTAGCCAAAGTCACTTCTCTGAGCCTCAGCATCTCTAAACTAGAGAGAAAAGGAATGTAAATGGATTATCAATAATAAAGGCTCTTAAAGAGGGAGAAAGGCTCTGTGACAAAAGGATTGTTTAGGAGAAACCTGGAGATATTCAAATGTTTACTGAAAGTTGGGCTCTGGGAATACAACTATGAACCAGTCAGCTCTGCACTCTGGACCCCCACCCACTCCCCCATCCATGCCTGCAAGGGGCAGGCCACAGTTTAGGACAGTTGGGGAGGAATCTTTTACTGGAACAAACAAGGGCTGTGGAAGCTGGCCTGTTCCAGATTGGACGGCCAATTCTCCAATCAGCACATCTCTGTGTGAGCTGGGGCAAAGTACCTAGCCTCTCAGACTCTCCATCTTCACCACGAAGATATTCATTCCTCTTCCCAAGATTGTTGGATTAAATTACACACATGTAATCATCTAGCAGTGTGGCTGGGCATACTGTAGGCGCTCAATAGATAATAGTTTTCCCCTATGAAGAGGTCTGTTAGGCTCCGCCCCTCGCCTCCGTACCAGGAAAGAGAACAGGTTCCTGGCTTGCGTTTTAGCGGGGAAAAGGATAGAAATGCATATATGCTAGCTAAGCAACCTAGCCAACTAACAAAAGGCCCTGCACCCTGGGTAATGTACCGCTGGATCTGGGTTCAGGTCAGACCTCGGCGCCAAAATGCCCCTCCCCCCAGGGAATTCGGGCCCATTCTCCAGCGCACTCCGCACTGCTCGGCTGCCTCTGCACCGTACGGGAACCACCCTTCCAGTCGGTTTCGCGAGCGACAGCAAGCGTGCCGGCCCCTTTAAGCAGCAAAGATTGTGTTGCAATCGCCGCCTGGGGACTGGTCCTTTCCGGAGGGTGGAGCCTATGCAAGTTGCAGCGACCAACGGAAAAGCGGCGTTTTCCGCGGGAGATCCGAATTTCGCGGCACGTAGTTTGGCGCTAAAAAAAAAAAAAAAAGAAGAAGAAGAAAAAGAGGCAGAGAAAAGCTCAGGGACTAAAGAGCAAGGCGAGAGGCGGCGGGTGCGACCCGCCTCTCTTTCCGTGTCCGAGCGCATTGCTTCTCCGTCGACCCCGCGGGCACCCCAGAGACCCCTCCCCGGAGCAGGCCGGACCCCAGGCGCCAAGGCCTTCGGGTCGGTCGGGCCGTCCCGGGTCTCGGCCAGCCTTGGGGCGGGGCAGCGCCTGACTGTGCTGCCGCCGCAGCCGCCAGGCGATCTCCAAGCGGGGATCTCCAAGCGCTGTTCGGCTCGGCCGCGGGCCAGGAGGGGAGGGTCCGACCTTGCCCCGCAGGCGTCCATTGGAGGCTTCCCCCGGCCTCCGTTCCATGCCGCGGGCCGTGTGAGCCGCCGCGGGCTTCCGAGCCGGCAGGTGCCCGCAGGCGCGCCAAGGGAGCGGGGCGCTGGACTTGCGATGCTGCGAGGGCCCCGGGCCCTGGCTCCGGCCGCTGGACCACCCTTCAAGGGGTTACCCGTGATAAGCCCCACCGAGCTGTGGCCGCCCTGCCTCGGCAGCCCCCAGCTCTATCCGGTCACCACTACCTACTACACCCCGCTGTACCCGCAGATTGTGCCTCCCACTGCGGCGCCCGGCACCTGCCTCGACGCCACCCCCCACCGACCAGAGAGCCAAGCTGTGCGATGCGTGCCGGCTGGCCGGCTGCCGGTAATTCTGGGGACCCCCCCCCATCCACCTACCGCTTCCCCCTATGCTTTCCGGGTGTGGGAAGGGAGGGAGGGGCGCCTGGGACCCAGTATGAGTGAAGCAGGTCAAGTTTGGGGAGGGAGAAGGGGAACTTTCAGAACGACCCATTACCCCGATATCTGAGTAGAAGAACCCTTCATTTTCAGACTTGGGAATGCAATAACTTCATCTGTTGGATTGGGAGTGTGGAGACCTAACCCACTACCCCCAGCGCACCCTGTGACCTTGGGGGGAAGTCCAGGGTGCCAACTTTGCTGTCATTCATTCATTCTTCATTCATTGTTTGGCCCAGAAACCAGTACTGGGCACCTGCTATTGTGCTGGCACAGAACTAGGCCTGGAGATGCTGTGGGGACTTTAAAATGGGGGGGTGGTCTCTCAGGTTCAGTCTGGCCTGGACAGACTCCAAATTTTCCATCCAGCTAACTCCTTCCCAATTATCTGCCCTGGGTCCTCCCCCCAGGCCTAGTCTTCCAGACAGCCAGTAGCAGGTGCAAGTTGGGGGCAGCCCCCTGGGGTTCCTGTTCAGATTGACTGTTCCCTACTCAAGCCCCCAGGCCTGTTGCCAGGGAGGGCCCAAATTGTGGTGGCACTAGGCAAAGGGTGTGTTTTGTGGGAGCGGAATTCCTGGATGGAGCCCAAGAGAATCTAAACAACCATAGGGTGGGGGTGGAGTGGGAAAAGCCGTAGGCGCTGGGGGTGGTGGTTCGAGAGCCTGGTTTCTGGTCTTAACTGCCACTAATTCACTGTGTGTCCTTGGACAAGTGTTGGCCCCGGCCTGGGCTTCAGTTTCATTTTCTTGAAAATGCATGTGTGTATGGAATAGCTATGGAGCTAACTCATTTCGGATCACTTTCAGCTCCAGGTCCTGGGTTGTGAAAACAGGCTCCAGGGAGGGGTGATGGGAGTGTTACTGGTTTACTTAGTCTTGAGGGGTACAGGGATAAGACCACCCCCCTTGAGGCATCTGGTCAGACCTGTGTCAGTCTACAGACACAGACCTCCCGCCACCGGCCGTTGCTGGATGCAGGCAGAGGCCCCACTCCCTGCTACTGGAATCATGCTTTACCCATGTTCAAGGCTTTAACTTTCCCAGAGCCTCTTCCTGCATATTATTTCCAACTAGGAGGAAGGAGGCAGAAGAGGTATTCCCATTTTACAGGTCTAGCAGCCAAGGATAACTGGGTATTTATCTTGTGTTCAGCATCTTAAAGCCTAAAACAGTTTTGAACCCTGTGGAGTAGATGGCATTAGTAGCTTCATGTTGCAGGGGGAAACTGAGGCTCAGAGAGGGAATGTGACCTGCCCACGGTCATACAGGGAGATGTATGACCCACAGCCAGGTGATCATTGGTCTCTTCCCTGCAGCCTTGTCTTTCGCCAGTACTCCCGGACTTAGGAGCTAGGTACCACCCAGGAAGGGGCTCAGTGGCTGGCCCAGTCTCCTCTGGCCAGCTGCTTTCAGGCACCCAGGCAGAGTTTCAGTAACAGCTGTGGTTTTGAACTGCTTCCCTTCCAGAGGAGCCCAAGTGCATCTGTTTGTACCTCCCTCCCTGAGGGGCTCAGTGTTCACAGCAAGAATGGCTCTCTTTTACTGAATGCCTCATGTGTGCCAGGCACTGCTTGGCACTCTTCACATTCGTTATCTTGGTCAAGCTGCTTGGGATGAGGCATCTTACAGATGAGGAAACTGAGCAGAGATGTGAAGTCACTTGTCCAAGTCACAAGCCAAGAGGTGGGAGAGTCTCCTTGTATCATGACCACCCTAAAGGCCTACCAGGCCCAGAACCCCCTCTCCTGTTAGTCCCCAGATGCCTGGTGCTCCCAGCCCTAGGACAGGCCTTGGCCCCCTGCTTACTCATTTACCAGGGTGTGGCCTGGAGCAGCTCCAAACCCAACCCTGGGTGTGGCCGCTTGCTTTGTGGCCAGGCTGCAAAGTGCAGGGTGAATAGGATTTGTCAGCCAGCTGCTGTTTAAAGGGACCTCAGGCACTGCCCAGGGATGGCAGCCAAGTTCAATGGCAGAATGAAGGCCAGAGCCCAGGTCTCCTCACCCCATGTCTAGTGCTTTTTCCACCACTCTCTGGAGAAAGCGTGGGATGCTCATCTGCTGATTCCCTGCTCCCACCAGGCACACTGCATCATTGTCTTTCATCCCTGCAGGAACCTGTGAGGAGGGTGGGATTCTGCCCAGTTATCCTTTCCTTTTAATTTGTAATTTCCAAATTTCCTCTGAGAACCATGAAAGAAAGTGAACTCTTTACTAAACAACCCTACAAGGCGGGTTGGATGAGGAAATGTTGGCTCAGCGAGGCAAGGCAGTGAATCCTAGGCTGCCCAGCAGCAGGTCTGGGATCTGGAAGCAAAGCGCTCAGCACCGTACCCTTGCTCCTGTTGCCACTGTCTAACTTAGGACTTGGGGCTTAGGATCAGCCTGGCTCCACTCCCTCTGTGACCTTGGGCAAGTCACTTCCCTTCCTTCAAGCCCCGGTTTCCTCGCCTTGCTGCCTGTAGTGGGGTTGTGTCTGGTGGGCTCTGGCCCTCTCGCTCTGGGGCTGCCTGAGGAAGGCGCTCTGCTCTTGGCCCTCGGTTGGCCGGGTGGCCTTGAAGCTTAACCAGGTCGTTAGGAAACAGCCAAAGGGGCTGCCTCACATGGTCTAGTTTAGAGCCAAACTGGCTGGCTCTGCATGTGGTCCCAGACCGCTGCACATCCCTGTCTTTTCTGCTTACCTCTGAACTTTCCCCTTGCAGGTGCCCCTGACACTTACGTGACAGCGCTTGGCTGCACTGTCTCACTGAATCCTCAGCAGAGGTAGAGCAGATTATCCCCATTTTACAGGTGGGGCTCAAGAGGTCAACCGACTTGCCCCACTCACCCAGCTAAGAAGCGGGTGGAAGGGCTAGATAGAAACCCAGGGTGTTCTGCCTCCAAGGCCTGTGCTCGGCCTCTCCTTGGTCTTCATCCTCCTGGGCTTGTCGTCTGCTACTACTGTTCTGCACACTCAGGCCCTTCCATGAGCTGATTTTTCTCTGGGCAGTGCCCAAACGTGTCAGAAAGATGTTCTTGGGTGGGGGACGCTTTGTTGCTTAGGGACTCAGTACAGGATAAGGGTGAGGGAGAATGAGAGAAGCGGGGGCCTGGTAAGTGGCTGTAAAATGATGGGGGGCAGGTGGGTATAGCCAGGCCTTGGTTCACATTCCAGCAGATTCTGGGGGAATGTGTGTGGGATGGAGCTGAGGCAGCCTGGTACATGGCTTTGGAATCAGACAGACCTGCGTTCAAACTCTGCCTCTGTCCTTTGTGTGACCTTGGGCACGTGGCTTAACCTCTCTGAGTCTCCACTTCTTGTCTGCCAAGAGAGATTGCCAGTACTGATGTTGCAGGACTGATGAGCATGTGACAGGCCTAGCACAGGTACTCTGGTCAAGGTTCTCCCCTCCTCCCCACTCTTCAGGTAGTGTGGTTTTCTTGGCGTGTTCTGTGAACTCAGCAGGGGCTGGCTCCTGTTGGGTGGGAGAGGTAGATGGGGTTGGGGAGATTCTGGGTTGCCCCACCTCTGCGTCAGAACTCAGCCTGACCTCCCTTCTTCTCCCTGTCCTTGGGGTTCCTTTTGAGGAATGAAGGATTTTGGGGTCAATAACCTCCGTCAGGATTGATAAAGGCCTCGGAACTCACTAAGTCTCAGTTACTTCAACTGTAAAATGGGGATTAGTGGTGTTGAGAAGATTTCAGTGAGGTGATGAATGTTGGGGTTTGGCCCAGGACATGTGGCAATTCTCAATGAATGATTGGGGCCTTTCTCTAGAGATAAGATGGGGCTAGAGCAGGTCACCTTCCCTAGAATCTAGGAAGTTGCCAGTTGGGAGATTAGAAAAGGAATATTCCAGAAAGACTTCAAGAGGAATGAGCAGGGAGGTGTTTGGATCATGTCCAGGTCTGGGTAGGTGTGGGAGAGAAGCATCATATCCAGGTTCCTCAAACCAAGTAGCAGGCCTCCTCAAATCATCCCAGGAAGACTTCCTGGAGGAGGTGTGTGGGGAGTGTGCAGTACAGAGGGGAGCTGACAGCAGGAAGAACTGTCATCACTTCCCACACCTGTCAGCCCAGCTGTGCTCAGCAGCGGTTAGAAGTTTCAGACCTGCTGAGCATGACCTCACCACCAAAGGTTAAAATAGGCCTCTTTGTCCCAGCCAGGGTAGGGGTGACTAGATGACTGGGGGAAGAGGAGAGGAACAACATGGGCCTAGCGACCCCCAGAAGGGTGTGTCAAGGAAGATGCAGAGACTGGATTTTAGGGAAGGGACTCTGCATTTCCTGAACACCTACTGTGTGCTAAACCACAGGCTGAGCACTTTATAGAAGTTATCTCCTTGAATCTTGACAATGGCCCCCTGATGGAGGTATTTTCTGCCCCCATTTTACAGAAGAGGAAACTGAGGCTCCTAGATGTGGAGCATTTCCTCAAGTCACACAGTGAGTTTGTGAAGAAGCTGGGACATGAAGGCCCAGGTCTCTGACCCCAGTGCCCTAGTGCCCCAGTGCCCTAGCCCTGCCCCTGCCCAGCCCTAACCAGGAGAGAGGCCCCTTCTGGGCCAGTGCAGCTTCTGCGCCTAATTGAGGCTGAGTGGCAATGGGGTTGAGAGGAGCAGATGGGTCTGCGGTTTGATTTCCCCAGCAGGTGTTTCCCAAGCTTGGCGGGAACAAGGAGGGGGAGCTGGGGGACCTCAGCTGCTTGTCCTTAAGACACAGGGGACTGATTCATTGTCTGCCCCTCTCCGGAAAGAAAGAATGGCAAATGGAGTCTATTCAGGAGGCCCTGAGGCCCTTCAGCTGGAGCCCCAAACATGGGGGTAAGGGATGTTTGCACTGCTTCCTGATGTCAGCACCTCCCTGGGGTGTGGCACCCATCCAGGAAGTCCCCTGGGCCTGGGCGGATGCCCAGCCCCACCCTGATAAGGGCCAGCTGTGGAGCTGTGATGGGCACCCAGTCTGGCTGGGCCAGCTGCTTCTGGGGGGGAGGGGGGCTCTCCCCAGCCTGATGTGGTTTAGGCCCCACCCATTCCTTCCTTCCCGCATCATCCTCTGTGTATGGAGGGAGAGGGAGGGGGTAGATGTGGAAGTGACCTTGGGCCTGTTATTAAGGAACCCTGAGCTCTTGGCCAGACTGGATTTGGTAGGGTCTCAAGTGCATGGGCCTCAGGGGATAGGAATGTTGTGTGTCTCTCAGAAAATAGGACTTCCTACCCGTGAAAGCTCACTTTTCAGGTCACTGCTATTTCCTTACCAAGTACAGTGATGTTCACCAGGACTGGTGGTAAACTGAGGCAGGAGGTGGCTGCTGGTGGCTTTAGTGCTTTGGGCCCAGATTGGGGAAAGACTGAAAGAGGAATAATTCTCAAACTCTGCTTCTCTTTCCCTCTCCAAGGCGAAAAGGAAGCTGGACCTCGAGGGAATTGGGAAGCCTGCAGTCCTGGAATTTCAGACTCCCAAGGGGAAGTGCATTAAAGTGGATGGCCTCCCCAGCCCCCAAAGTAAGCTGTGCTGATGGGACATCTAGGGGCAGGCTCAGGAGACCGGGGTGGGGTGGCAGGGGCAGAGGGCAGCAGCCCTGCCCAAATCATCAGGAGTAATATTTGTAGCACATTTCCCGGTTTATAAAACAGTTTCCTGTGTATTCTCTCACTGGATCCTGCCAGGTAGGTAGGATTACCCCCCCTTTTACTGATGAGGCACCTTAAAACTCAGAGCTTGAATGGCTTGCCCAAGGTCACATGGCCAGTAAGTAGAGCCAGGACTAGAGCCTAGTCTTGTACTGCTTTTCTCACACCATACATTGCTCTTGTGATCTAAACGTGATGACCAACGATTTATTTGGGAGCTTAGTATTTTTAAAAAGTTTTTACATTTAGTTCATTCAATCTGACCTTTTCTAAAAGAGAGAACCCAGCTCAGAGAAGAACAGGGTCTTTCTCCCGTATGCAGACAGCTAAATCAGTGATTCAGAGGGAAGTGAAGCTTGGATTAATCCAGTCTATGCTACCTCAGAGATTTTAAGATCCAGAGGCCACCGAGGTGGTGACTTCCTAAAGCTAAGTTGGAAGGAATTTCCACCTCTTCATATTTTCAGTCAATATTCTGGTTAGAGCAGGAGTTTCAGCACCTGTGTTAGGGAGGGGGAGGAAAGCTAATTTGGGGGGTCAGAGACCTAATGAAGAAGGTATGTGACTGGTGGGAAGCATGACAGTCAGGAATTTGGGGGTCTGGGCAGGGCTGTGCCCTGACCTGACTGGCCCCTCCTTTTCTGTGAACCTTAGTTGTGTCATCTTTAAAATGAAGTACAGCTAGATCAGGAATAGCAAAAAGGTTTCCTCTCCAATTGATTGGTAGAGGCTGCCCAAAGCTCTTAATCAAAGGGTCCTAAGTGCACTCATCAATTAGTAATGTCTGCCATGGATGCAAAAGTTGAAAAAGCAGCCTGTGTGCCAAATAGCAGTCATGTATATATGTTAAGCTATTCTAAAGTTCCCTTCTAGAGTAATTAATCTGAGACTTCTCTAAAACTCAGTTTCCTGAAGTAATTTGGCCACTAACTTGCTATATGACTTGCAAGTCACCTAAATTGCAAAAGTTCTCTTGTGGTTTAAGATGCTGCAGCTGAGATGTGGTCTTGTGACATCAGTTTATTAAGAAAGGGACCTTTTTTCATGAACCTGCCCCATTGGATATTATAGGACTGACTCCTCTCATTAGTCTCTACATGGAAAGAAAAGGCAAGTCTATAAAAATGTTCTCAAATGCAAGGTCATCATTCCCTCCCTATCCTAATACCAAATTCCTGCAATAACTGGCAGGATGGGGTAATGGTTAAGAAGGAAGACTCTGGAGCCAGACTGTCTGGATTTAAATCCCAGCTTTTGCCACTTTCTAGCTGAGTGAGCTGAGCAAATTACTTAATCTGTCTGTGCCTCAGTATTGTCATCTATAAAATGGGGATGGTTACACATCAAGCTTATAGTACGTTGTAAAGATTAAATTTGTTTTATATCGAAAGGTGTTTAAAACAGTGACCTACACACAGGGAGCATTTATTATTGGTGGTGGTGGTGGTGGTGACGACATGGCTGCCCTAAGCTGTGGTGGAAACTAGGAGTTAGGACATCTGGTTCCCAGCCCTGACACTACCCTTTGGCTGTGAGACCTTAAGCAAATCACTTTCCCTCTCTAGGTATCAGGTTCCCTATTTGGACAATGGTGGTGAATGGCTGCCTGCCTCACAGTGCTCTAACTGGAAAGTGGGTGCTAATGTGAAGGGTGGTACTTAATGGGTCCAGGTCAATGGAGGATGCACACCAGGCTTACCCTTTCTGAGCGGTGACTGGGCCCCTTTCCTTCTTAGCTCCCAAGTCCCCTGGGGAGAAGTCTCGGTATGACACGTCGCTGGGGCTGCTCACCAAGAAGTTCATCTGCCTTCTGAAAGAGTCCAAGGATGAGGTCTTGGACCTGAACTGGGCTGCTGAGGTGCTGGATGTGCAGAAGCGGCGCATCTATGACATCACCAATGTGCTGGAGGGCATCCAGCTCATCAGCAAGAAGGCCAAGAACAACATCCAGTGGGTGTGAGTGCCTGGCCTGGGGCTGCTGGCACCAATGGGTGCACATGCTGGGGGCAAAGCCACAGGCAATTACCCAGTGGCTGTGCATGTTAGGGGTGGGGCTGAGAACAACATCCAATGGGCACAAGTGCTGGGGGTGGACCCAGAGCAACATCCAATAGGTTTACATGCTGGGAGCAGAGCCAATGTATTTAAGAGCAGGGTGGACAAGCAGGTGTATGTGCTGGATTAATAGGATAGCATGGCAGGGGTCGGGTGGAGAATGATTTCTGGGATGTGTAAAGGTCTGAGAGAGGACTCCATACTCTTGTGTGGGATCCCAAGTTTCCCCTCTTCTAGTTTAGGAAAGTCCCCTGGGAGCTGGGTGGTAATAACCCAGACTCCTTCCAGCTCTGAGCTAAGAGTACTGCAGGCTCCTCTCCTCACTTCTACAAGGTCCTAAAGCGCATACCTGCACTCCCTGGCATGAACGCTAGGAGAACCCAGGCAGGGGGGTCAGAACTGAGGTCACTCCAGCTCCCTGCCATTTGGGGGATGCTGGGGCAGAGGGTGTACAGAGTTGAAAGCCCCCAAAAGTGGGATGACTCCCTGATTTGTTTCTTTTCCCTAGCCCAACTCCCAAACCCCAAGTTCCAATCCCTGGCAGCTCCCTAGGAGCTGGACAGGACCGCTGATTTGCACAACCCAGGAGCACTATCATAGACCATGTGGATTGCCTCATCTGGGATTTTGCACCATCTGTGCAGCTCTGCACAGCAGCCCTGGGGGTGGGATTCCTGGGTGTGGACTGAGACTGACACTGGGGGCTGCTTTGTGCCTAGAAGTAAGGGAATGTTTGAAGATCCCACCCGGCCTGGGAGGCAGGAGCAGCTGGGACAGGAGCTGAAAGAACTGATGAGCAAGGAGCAGGCCTTGGACCAGCTCATCCAGAGTTGCTCTCTGGACTTCAAGCACCTGACCGAGGACAAGACCAACAAGAGATATCCTCTTTGGTTGGGAGAAGGGGTCAGGGAGCAGGGGCCTGTTACATACTCGTATCTTTCCAGAGTTAATGTAATACCTCTCTATAGGGACTAACTCAGCCTTGGGATCTGACATCTGTTTTTTCCTTCTCAGTGGCTTTTCCTCTCGACTCCATTGAAGTCATTTTCTCATAAAAGTAAGAAAAGTACATTTCTTTAAATCTGGAAAATGGAGAAAAGAAAGAAAACAGCTGCCACCTTAACACAGCCATTGTTCTTTAACTGTTCACAGGGTATGTGTTATTTAAATATAGTGTGTGACTGCTGTACATAACAACATTTTATATCCTGCTTTTTTCCACTTAGTATATTACCATAGACATTTTTTATGTTGTTACAAATCCTTCCTAACTATTTGGTTGATCCACATGAAATGGTGGCTATTAGACCATTTTTAAAAAACCTATAAAAACAGCAATCTCATAGGGTTTAAATGGTTTGAGAATTTCCTACTCTGACTACACTCTGGTTTGTTGATAGGCCTAAAACTGACATTCAGATTGATTCTAGATTTCTGCTTTTATAAAGCAACAAAACGATGAATGCCTTTGTATATAGAACATTTCCCTATTTTTTAAAACATTTCCCTTGGTTAGATTCCTAGGATTGAAATGATGAGGTCACAGAGCATGGACTATGCTAAGGCTTTTCATACATTTTTTCCAAAATGGTTTCAGCGTCTCACTAGTTTTGGCTATGACCTTGTATTTTTTCAAGGAGCCTAGGCATTGTGAGAAATTTAAAGACATAAGACATGTCTCCCTGCCTTCTCAGAACTAGTCATCTAGTTTGAGAGATGAAGTGTTTATATAAAAAAAAAATTGACAAAAGACAGCATTTTAAAATATGATTTATACCCCCATTTGCTTTCTAAAGGGATCCAAGGTAGCTTATGATATTAAAAGAACGGGTTACAGATTTTGGTTATTTCTAAGCTATATAAAAAGGAGAAAGAGATTTTCAGGGGGTTAGGAGAGGTGGGTTGGATTTCTGCCTGGTGGACTGCGGGTGTGAATTTTGACCAGACAGTTACTTCTCTTGACTTTCCTGCCCCTACACTGGCCTATGTGACTTACGAGGACCTACGTGCTGTCAGTAACTTTCAAGAGCAGACAGTGATCGCTGTCAGGGCCCCGCCACATACGAGACTGGAAGTGCCCGACATGAGCGAGGTGAGAGGGGAAGCTGTGGGTAGGGAGCAGGGTTGGAGGGCCCCGGGCAGCTCTGCAGGCTCTGTCCCTGGCACTGCTCAGCCCCATGCTTCCCCGGTCCATGCTGGTGTGCACAGTAAAATCAGTGGTCTCTGAGCTGGGAGAGAAATGGCAGAAGCTGGAAAGGGCAACAGGCTCTGGCCTGAGAAAACCTCTGTTCCTGGTTTCTTTCTGTGTACTTGCACACAGGCATACGTGTGTCCACACAGCGGTGTCAGTGCTCACGATAATCCTTTCATGCTAACCAACCAAATTCTTTTTTTTTTTTAAAGATTTTATTGGGGAATTTGGGGAGGGGAACAGAATTGGGGAATCAGGAGAAAGGAACAGACAAGTTGCTGTCCTTTTGTTCTTCAGTCTAGTTGTGGAGGACGTCGCTTCACTGGCCCATGTTGGTATTATCATTGCATTCTTCCTGGGTGAGGCAGTTGATCCCTGGCCATTGGATGGCCGCTCACAGCGGCTCACGCTGGTTGCCAGTCACTCACGGTAGCTCACGGCAGCCCATTGCAGCAGGGGCTGCAGCCTATGCCGTTGCCAGGGACTCACAGCAGCCCAGCTCCAGGTTGAGCTGTTGTTCACCATCTTAGCTGTAGAGGGCACAGCGTCACTGGCCCATGTGGGATCTGAACTGGCAGCCCTGCTGCTCCCAGCTCACGCTCTCAAGCCAACGCTTAACCCATGCTCCACTTGGCCAGCCCGAGACCCAGATTCTTAACGTTCCCTACGAGGCCCTCCATGCTCTGCCCTTGCCAGCCCGCTCTGGCATGCTGCCCTTGTTCGCTGTCTTTGCTCCAGCCACACTGATCTGCCTGCCATTTCCCTCCTACACGAAAGTTGTCCCCATAGAGGACCTTCACACGTGCTGTCCTCTCCAGCTGAAATGCGCTTCCTTCTCTGTGCTTGGTTTACTGCGATTCATCCTACAGGCCTCAGCTTGAACGTCACTTCCTCACGGAAGCCTTTCCCGATCACTCTCACACCTGTGCTTTCCCCCACCCGCCACATGATTATGTTCTGCCTCATCTACTAGAGTGTAAACCCCACAAAAACATGTTCTACTCATGCAGTACCCCCAGCTCAGGGCCTGAGAAGGGCTCAAGAAATAATTTGTTTAATGAAAGAACTTTAAGATAAATAAGGCCCTGCCCCCGGCTTGGAGGAGCTCAGAACCTAGTGGGGGAAAGACCCACGCAAGTAGTGATGCTGTGATTTATAGGCTGAAGATGTGCTTTGAGGGTCCGGAGCGAGGAGAGTGGAGGAAGGGCCCACAGGTGGTGGTAGTTAATCTGGGTCCTAAAGAATGGATAGGACTTTTATTTATTTATTTATTTATTTTGAATTAAGTCTTTTATTTCATTTATTTATGATTATTTTTATTTATTTATTATTCAAGTATAGTTGGCATACAATATTATCTTAGTTTCAGGTATGTAATATTGGGTTGTTGGAAAAGTCATGACGTATTTTTTTCTATGTTTTTCGTTGCAAAAATGCGTCATGACTTTTCCAACAACCCACTATAATGATTCCACAATTATATACCTTACGCTGTGATCACCACACTAAGTCTAGTAATCATCTGTCACCATGTAAACTTATCTCAATATTATTGAATAGGATTTTCACCAGGTGAAGTGTAGGGGTAGGTGGAGGGCACTGCATGGCAGGACTGGAGACCTGAGTGCCTGCTGGAATGGCATGTGTGTAGTCAGTCGTGCCTTCAGCTGCGGACCTGTGGTAGAGAAGAGGCAGGGGTGGGAAGTATCAGGACACTTGATTGCAAGTAACAAAAAGACAAGTCCAATGGGCTTAAGTGAGGGGGGGAGGGGAACTAAGTGACAGGTCCAGGGGGAAGATTTGGAGATTGCAGGCCAGGCTGGCCGCAGCGACTCACGTTATGACTTTAAGCCTGCCTCACGCTCTCCATCTCTCACTGTGCCATTCTCTGTGCTGACTCTGTTCCCAAGGGGGCTCTCCCTTTGTGGTAGCAAAGATAGCTTTCCTGATACCAGCTCAGCCATCCCCATGGGAAAGGAGCTTCCATTTCCAGGTCTTGGTTCTGATGCTGGTGGAACTGACCTGAGTCACGGGCCACCCTGAACCAGTCATCGTTGCTCTGACTTTCTCATCCAGCATCCCCAATTCACCCTTTGGAGTTGGGGAAGGGTGCAGCCCCTCCCTGCTCCAACTGCCTGACCTGATAGTGGGGGAGGAGTGATTTCCCAAAGGAAAATCCAGGCATTCCCCCTAAAAGAAGGGGCCTGGGGGACAGACAGGCAGACGCAGCAGATGTCCACCAAAGGCCAGACGAGACAGGCCTCAGCACGCAGCTCGGGAGTTCAGCTCGCTCCCTCTTCTCGATGGTGGGAGTCACGTGTGTCCATCCATATACACTAACCCGTGAGTTAAGTGTCCAGCTGCCTAGAGCCATGACCTAACTTCTCTGCCTCCAGCAGAACCTGCAGTTACACCTGAAGAGTACGCAAGGGCCCATCGAAGTCTACCTGTGCCCGGAGGAGGTGCAGGAACCGGACAGTCCTACCAAGGAACCCCTCCCCTCCACTTCCACTCTCAGCCCCAGCCCTGACTCCACCCGGCCCAGCTGCAGCACCAACCCTGGGATCCTGGAACCCATGGCATCCCCAGGTAGGGCCCTCCATCCTGAGGGACAGAAGGTGGGGAAAGCAACCAGCCTTCGTTTCCTCTTCCATGCCAACATTTGCTGGGTACTGACCTTCTACCCAGCGACCGGGGGTATAGTCCTCCCCCTCGTGTGTGCATTGCAGTCTACACTCTATAAATCCCCATGCGCATTCCTTGTCTCACTGACAGGCTAAGCTCTCTTTGCCTCAATTTCCTCATCTGCAAGTTGGGCATAGTAATTAATAGTATCTACTGCATAGGTTGTTGTGAGAATTAAATGAGTTAATATATGTAAAGCCTTAGAACTGTGCCTGGCAATGACTCCTAGCTACTATTATCATTATTGCCACTACCACTAGTACTGCAGCCTCTATGGCAACGACTGACAGAAAAGCTCCTGGCACTCAATAAGCCCACACTGAAGGGGAACTATAGGTTTTTTGAGGAAGGCTCAACACTCTCTTGCGAGATAATAACTAAGGTTTTTTTGAACCATGACTGTACCTGATACATCCATTTTCATATTATTCCTCACAGCAATTCTTGAGATAGGTTTTATTATTCCCAGTTTAGAGGTTAATAAACTGAGGCAGAGAGGTGATGTGACTTGCCCAAGGTCTCCCCGCTGGGAGGCAACAGAGCTGTGTCTTGAACCTGGTTTCCATATTCCTAGCCCAGTGCTATCTTTTCTTTTCTTTTTTTTTTTTTTTTTTTTTTTTTTTTCTTTTCTTTTCTTTTCTTTTCTTTTCTTTTCTTTTCTTTCTTTTCTTTCTTTCTTTCTTTTCTTTTCTTTCTTTTTTCATTGGAGAACAGCCATGG